AGGAAGGAAGGAAGGAAGGAAAGGAGGGAAGGATGGAGGGAAGGACAGAGGGAGGGAGAGAGAGAGGAAATAAAGACAGAGAGTAGATGACACATAAGATCTGATAATACCACAGGGTTCATGGATGGAGTGAACACTCCCTTTAATTATTACCCCACAAAATGGGGAATCTCTTTCTCTTTCTTGCTCCTTCATTTCCTCTCCTCCCCTCACTTCCCAGTGCAGATTAAGACACAAAGGCTCCACACCACCCAGCTGACCCAGGCCTGGAATTTACATTCATTTGACTCCAAAACCTTTCCACCGCCCAAGATGCCAACCTTGGCCATCTGCGACTTCCAGAAGAAACAGAAAATACCAAGAGTGTTCAGGTCAAGGCCCAGCGTGAGAAACGACTGGAAGCGTTTGCTATCGTGGGCGGCTCCGGACGGCGATTCCCGCCCGTCCCAGGCTACGCGTGAAACGTGACCGGAATTGAACATCTGAACGAGTCTGGATTCCAGACATGGGGGACGCTCACGTTCTCGCTGAGACAACGGGGACAGAAGTGGCACTGAGAAGATGGCATTACGTGCACACAAATGTTTGAGAGGAAATCTCAGCGCTGTCCTTTCAAGAGCGCGAGAGGCACAGGGCGGCGGAGAACTGAAGGTGACGTCTCTTTGGCAGAGGGGATGTGGCGCTAACAAAGGCGCAGAAGTGACTTGAAAGGGGAGGGCGACAGCGTCACCGCCTTGGGCTCATCGAGAGCAATGAAAAAGGAGAGACTCTGCTCTTAAAAGGCCGAGTGTCTCACGGGCACAGCTTGGAACTGCATTCTGCGTCGGAAAGCGAGAAATAGAAAGCCCTTTTGAGGTGCTGGGGGACAAGGTGCCTAACGGGAGCTCGGGTTTCCGTGCCGCACGCTGGCCCGCGTCCTCGCCCCCGCCAAGCCCTCTTTGGTTTCTCTCGCTCTAGACCTGTTTTCCCTCCATCCGTCTGTGACGTTCTTCAGTTTCCCCTAATAGAGTCAGCTGACTTTTTCCAGTAAAGAATTACGTGTCTGCCAAGTTGCCCCCAGCACGTGCCAGTTTCAGCCTCTCTCCTCCTTTCCTTCCCCTTGTCGCCCCCCCTCCCTGCTTCTCTTACTGTGAAGACCCAGAGCCGTGCGTCCCCCTTGTCCCCCACCCCTCTCCCTTCCATTTCCAACAGGCGGTCATTGTCCTTCTTCTTGGCTGCTTCCTCTCTCCCTTCTAAGTGGTTTTCTCTCTTCCTAGCCTTTCCTAGGAGATCGGATTTGTTCCTTCAAACCTTGTCCTATCCGGAGAGTCTCAGGAAATATTGTAGAAAAATCAGAATGTAAACAATATTAACTAGAATTTTTCCTGGACAAAGGAAGCTTCGACTTAGGGATCCACAGACCAAAAACCTTCTCGTCGGCTCCTGCAGTGACTAGGACCGTGGCTCTCAAACTTCAATGGTCTTCAGAATCACCTGGAGGCCTGGTTAAAAGGCAGCATGCTGGGCCCCACCCCGAGTCAGTGATTCAGTAGGTCTGAGGTGGGGCCTGAGAATGCGCATTTCCAACAGGTTCCCTGGTGATGCCAACTGTGCTGGTCCAGGGGCCACACTCTGAGAATCACTGAAGGGAGGGCACCAACAGCAGTCAGGTGGTCAGGGCTCAGCTGTGCGTGGGAACGGTTCCTTGTCATATCAACAAAGGGACCGACAGAAGCCTAGGGAGCTCTAGATTAGGGATCCAGAGGATGTGCAGGGCACAGCGAGCAGGGGAGCAGGAGGGGGGCAGGCTCTGTGTTTAACCTTCTGGGAAACACCGAGCCAGCTCCAAGCCCTGTCATCCACCCTCCCGCTTTCGATCACGCACTGCAGCAGCAGAAGGGAATTCTCAGGATCCCTTTGATCCCTTCCCAGTCCCCCAGCCCTTCGTCTGTTTATCTCCCTCCGTCCCTGGCCTCTTGATCTCCCTTCTTACCCCCTGCCCAGTGGATGAGTCACTCCCCCTCCTCCCCACCCCACTGTCATCTGTTTTTCTAATGATGGCAGAAGATGAGCTGTTTTGTTGGCCCACCCGTAACAAAGCACACTCCATGCTAGCATTTTTCCTGATGCATTCTCAGAGTGCTATTTTTCTGGTCTCATTCCCCTACCCAGTTTTCCTTTGTCTGAAGCCCCACCCTTTCCCCTTCTTTGGCCTCATGTAGATCCCAGTTTCCCAGAAGCAGATCAAGAGAAACAGCCATACAGAAGAATGGAAGGACCAGCATGCATATGGGCTGGGTGTGTGTATCGGAAATCAGGGGCCATTAAACGGCTCTCTTTAGCCCCCAAGCTGCAGCCAGAATGGCCCAGGTATCACCGATAAGTGGCTCAATTACTGCCAGTGAGAGATTTGCATGACAAAACCTGTCGTGAGACCAGAGTATTTGTATTTGTCACTGGCTATTCCCAGGGTGAGAGGGCTTAAACGAGGTGTGTGTGTGCGGTACTCCACCCTCCTCTCATGTCAGGACTCTGGGGTCCCCCTCCATCAGCAGGGCCCTGCCTTATGCATGACTCTTTCCTGCAATAACTCCTGCTGATCTAGTTGAGGAATTCACGGCACCCTAAGTCCTCCCAGTAGAGGATCCCCCATGTGAAGAAGTAGACAGGATTCTAGCGAAGGTCTACTATGGGTTACTCAGCAGTGGGTTACAGACCTACCTCCGAGGCCGACATCACGGATGCCTTGTGTGACCCAGATAGTGGATGTCCGTTAGGGGAACGTGCTGGGCGGGGGCCTCAGGGAGGGGTGAGGACCACGGTGACCTGAAGAGCAAGTAGCTGCCCTTCCAAGATTGTAGCTGCTACTCAGATCTGGCTAATGATTGCCATGGTTTACAGATATTCTTGTTTTTCAAGAGGAAAGTCTTCGCACGAAATGTTTTATATTTATTTTTGTTTGAAGTATGTGCAATGTTATATATACACTTATGAATTTTATGTGAAAATCCCAATTTTTAAATGTTGGCAACCAAGACAAAATTGTTTTTAGGCCTCGTGTTGGCCAAATAAACCTGTCTGTGGGCCATTAGTCTGCAAAAAAAAAACAAAAAAAAACCCTTATCTTACTAAGCTCAAGCAAGGCCCAGATAGAGAATCCCAAAACCATAAATAATTCTGATTTGCTTTTAACTTATTTTTTTATTAAGTCATTTAAAATGAAACCCTGGAATTTTGCTTTTTTAAAAAAAGCCAAAACCAAAAATCCTAATATCTGTAATTGTGGGATTGTGGAGATGAATTTAAGAAATTAAGCAAAAGGCATAGGAATGGAGAAGCGGGTGGAGGGTAACTTGAATGAGACAGACTCAAGTCCCTGCGGGCTAAGCCGACCGGAGAACTCCGGGCTGGGTTTGGGGAAGGGGAGGTGGCTTACCTCGCAGGACTGGATGCAGTGGACCAGGACGGGGTCTGGGTGCCACTGACGCCGCCCAGTGCACACGATGCTCTGAAGGAGAAGACAGAACGAGAGCCAAGATGCCTGGTCAGTGAGAGAAGGTGCACATCCTGAGCTTACCCCACCAGCCCGAGCCTGTTCCCCAGGGAGCGAGACCCCGAATGTGCCCCCACGAAGAAGGCCAAGGACATCTGGTCTTTCCCAGGGACCTGCTAATCCTGCTGGTGGCACCAAGGCAGGAACTCTCCGTGGAGGGAGCTTTTCCTGCTCCCCACCCTCCATCTTCCTCCCCAAGGTGTCGACATTGCCAGAGCAATGGGGCACGTGTGGTTGCAAAAAGGCCTGTCGGCACTATAATGAGTTTAACGTGATTTTAGGCACGACGTTGGTTCCCTTTGTTTTGAAATTTTAAATAACATTACGAGGAATTGTGCTTTCTCGATTCCAGAGAGAAATCTCAGGAATCCCAGATCACATGACGTAAGTGCCCGAGCAAGGCCTGGAGGCTGAATGGCCCTCTGCACCTCTTGTGAGCGCTGTCTTTGCCTTCCTCGTCTACGCACACAACCGACAGGGTTAACACGAAACCAGCGGGGCTCAAAACGGCCCCGACGTGAAGCCCGTGACAGCGAAAACACGTTCATGCTAGAACACAGGTGACTGTCTCGTTCTCAACAGCCATTTCCACAGGCGCATTTAAACAGCCGTCTACTCTTCATTTACTCGAACGCATCTACTATACCTTATTTCATTGAGCTTTTGCCTTTTAATTTTTGTATTTTGAAATTTCAAAAGATATGCTTCGGGTAAAAAGGAGGTCCCCTTTGAGGTTTCACAGACAAAGGAGATTCTCTCAGCCTGCTACCAACCCCCGCTGTCGCAGACTTTCATCCTCCCATTTTAACTCGGCACGATAGGAATTCGATGTAATGGTAAGAAAAATAATATGTGGTGAGACATGAACTTTACACAAGGTAGCACCTCCAGTAATTGGGAATTACACGCTCTATAATGCTAAGGCTGCAATAATCAGATTGGAGATATTTGCATATGTTAATATGTAGGTGTCTGAATATACACCTCGTAATGAGATGGGAGGATGGGAATCTGAAATATTTTCCTGGAGTTATTCCGCTATAAACTAAAACTCCTCAGCTCCCCTAAAGAGAAATAAATACTACAAATCCTTCACATTTTGATATTCAAAATTCCATATTGTAATCATATAGACGGTGACTTGGCTTACATTATCACTAAAAAAAAAAAAAAAGGATTATTAAATCTATGCATTGAGGTTTTTTTAACACTTTAAAATTTCTAAAAATATATTACAAAAAAAAAAAAGAGAAAAAAGCCTGTCTTGACTTCTAATTCTTTTTCTCCAACATTCTTTTCTCCTATTATTTCCAATTTCTTTTTTCACTTCTTTGTATTTTTATGTATTTTTATATCATGATCATGTCATATATGTTCACGGAATAGAAATATAAAAGGCATAAAAGGGTACATGACCCCGTCCCTGCTCCTGCTCCTGCTCCCACCACCGGGTTCTGTCTCACCTATTTTCAGTTCTTTTTTGTGTCATTACAGAGAGAAAGAGAGAGAGAGGAAGGCAGGCAGATAGGCAGATAGACAGACAGACAGACAGACAGACAGACAAGGGACCGGTTAAGAGTTATTAGGATGACCGTAAGGCTGTATAAAGACTATTGCCTAGTTAAACGCCTAGTTAAAGGTCACAAGACTGATGGTTAGCCAACATTAAGATGTAACACAACATTGCTCAATTGTTTTTTTATTCCAATAGTTGCTTGGCAGAATCAGACCACAGAGTTCTGCTGCCTTCCATGACTGTGACGATTTCCGTATTTCCATAGATGCATGCAACCTACAGAAACCTCAGCATTATTCTGCAGATTTGGACCGTAGTCTATTACCCTGCTGTTTGCTTTTCAGTTCCTATCCCCCTCCACCCTCTAAGACCCTCTCGTCTACTCATCCCCAGTGATGAGACAGCCTGGGTGCCTAGAGACACAGCCAAACTGAGAGCAAGCAATTCCATGCTCAAAACTGATGAAAAAGACCTTTCCATGACTCAGGACTGAGTGATTTATTTTCCCGTTGAGGTGTGGCAAGTGGCACTGTAGCCGTGATACACAACTGCATCCTTCGAGAGGACACTTTGGTAGGGGCGGGGGTGGGGGGCGCGGAAGGAGGGCACGGATTAGGGTGGCAGGAGAAGAAGGGAAGCTGAGACCACCCAGCTGGAAGTTACGGCTCCAGGAGGGCACTCTCTTCTCTTTTTCTTCCTGCCTCTCTCTTCTTCTTAAAACATTTTGTTTTTATTTCAATAATTATTCATCCTTTGGGGAAACATTTGGGGAGAAAAAGTCAGAAATTATAAGATTTCTTTTGACTGAGCACTTCTGCTGAAGTGGGGAATTGAGCAAGGGATGTCATGCAGAATCTTTGCAAACCTAACTTGCCTAACCGCAGGAAATTCTTATTAATTTGTCTCTTACTAATTTGTAATTATAATATACTAAAATAAAAAGAAAAGCATTGTCTGTGAAAAGTGGATTTATGAAACAAACTACTAAGGGAAATGAGATGTTACGATGGCTGCCCTTGTACTTCAGAAAGAAACACTTTCAAATACAATCGAGAAAAATTTCATTTGCTCGCAAACAATTGCCACATTTATGCATAGAAAAGAATCTTGCCATGAAATCTGGTTCCCGAAGGAACACTTCTTGACAACATAAGTCAAAATGTTAACTTTCCTGTTGTAAACGGGAAAGTCATGAGATATAATAAAATACCCTCTTGACAGAGTGGACAATCATAAAAATGTAACCTGGTGTAGGCTTTTTGGAAAAATCAGGTTTGCCTTGAAAAATGGCTCTGTGGAGGTGGAAGCCATTCTCCTCTCCAGGCTCTTGGGTTTCACTCGGCAACCTCCTTCTGAGCAAGGGATGCAAGGAGTCGTGCCTGAGAAGATCTGGGGATGAAAGTAAGACAATATCCCTCCCCTCAAGAATCTTACATGTTCAGCGTGTGAATGACCGAAGAAAACAATGAAGACGAGGAAATACAGGGATGAGAAAAGCTCCCGGTGCTCCCAGCAGAAGTTTGAGGATCGTCCACACCTTCTGCTCAGGCGCCCTGGACATCAGGCACCGGGTTCTGCCGAGAGGTGCAGGAGGGCAGTCGGACACATAACTCTGTTTCTCAGCATAAGCAGTGGCATTTGGCTGTTTCCTGCCTGTCCCAACTGCCAAATACCACTGCTCCGTCACCTTGACTGGCAGGCATTTATTTACTGGACTGCCCAGAAGCCCTTTTGTTCGACATCCTCTCTGTCGGGATATTTCTGTGCTGATGCCATCACCATAGAAAGGTCTAGATTTCGGTTTGTAATAGGTGAGTGAGGAAGGCACCATTACGACAACAAAAGCCCAGAAAGTCCACTTGAGATTTTCAACTCCCTACCTCTTATTTTCCACAACCAGCGTGCCCTTGAAACTTTGAAAGTAATCGTATAATTTCATCCTTACTCTGTCTCGCAACCAAAGCCTCTTGAAATTGCTTCTTTAGCCAGAAATGTTCCAATAAGAAACACGGAATTGGCCACAAAGTTTCTTCTCGGCCCCGTTTGTAAAAGGAACAAATGATGTACGCATTTCTGTCTACAAAACCACACCCACACACGCGTGCGTGCACGTACACACACACAGCGAGTATTCACTTTTTCTCACAAAGATAGCTGATGATATCTTTTCAGATGAAGGAAGTTTCCAAAGGTAAATTTGTACTGACTGAATTGAAATGTTATTTTTAATTAATTCAGAACTATGTGCTAGACACTGTGCAAGACATTTTGGCAGTATTATTTTGAATTTTTATTAAAAAAAAAAAACCCTGCAAGATAGATACTACCATCGCCCTTGCTGATGAAGTAGACAGAGGCCCAAAGGTAAGTCACCCAGTATTTGAACCCAGGAGGACTTCACTCTACTTTTTATGCCAGTTGCTGTTTTGAGTTGTTTTTCAACAAAACCCCAGGCTACCTAAGTCCTCAGAAATTCTTCCTTAATGAAAAGCATATTATTCTAGGAGTCAGGTATCATTTTTAAGAATAAATACCAGCAGAACCCCCAGAAAAGGCAAATAAACTTTGCAGGCATCTAAAAAGTATACTCGATTGGTCATGAAAAACGAACTCTTCCACAATAAGGAAAAGCAGTAATATCGGGACACATTTCTCCAAATTATTTTTGTTAGATTTCATGGGGAGGAAGGGAAGTGTGGGGATGTGGGAGTTCTCATGGTTGAGAACATCTAATTTATCAGTAAAACGAGGATAATAAAATCTTCCTTTCTAAATGTATTGGTTTGTGGTAAGATTCTAATAGAATTATAAATATATATTATATATATAGAGAGAGATATATTATATATATCTATAACATACACAACTTTAAAGATAATAAAGTGTTCTTCAAATGTAAGATATCACTTTTATTATAAAGAATAAAGGCATTGGAAGCAGACTAGAGAAAACAGTACAATTTAATCCAATTGCTCTTTAGTCTTGCCAGACACAAAAGTACGTGAAGCATGAGAGTTAGCAGGGACTTGCATGAAATGGGAGTCTGCCATTTACTAACCATATGAACGGGGCTCCAAACCAGTGTGCTTATACGGTACTTAAAATGTGGATGCTGCCAGGATTCTATTTCGTAATAGCAGTGTTTCTCAAGGCATGACAGTTGAATTAGCTGGATGCTAGGAGGATGAGTTGGGGAGACATACTCCAAGGCACGGCAGGCCTCTCGGAAGAGTGGACCCTGGTCTGTTCCTTTTACAAACTGTCCAAGTGACACTTTGGACACCTTAAGGACACCAAAATCTAAGCTTGAGTACAATATGGGTCGACTCCCAAAATAAATCAATGTAGGCTATCAGCATTTTACTCAGTGAAGAGTTTCATTGGATACAACTGCTTTGGTTTACAAGGCATTCATTCTTAGTTATGAGGACAAGGTCAGATTTCCCACCCCGCGTGAGCCATTGAGTGCCACAAAATGGCAGAATTCATGAGCTTATGTATGACTGGTATATAATCTCATCTGAGGACCTGGGAACATAAGAGCAATAACCTCACCATCACTTCTTTTTCTATTCTAATGGAGTTTCAACTTCCTAAAAATGAAGCATCCTATGTCAGTGTCGTTTGTAAGCGATACTCCTAATTTCAGGATATCTCGGAAGGAGCTGAGAGAGTGCAGGGAATGGCCGTTTAGCCACCGCGATGGCCAGTGTTAACTACTCTGGGGAATCCTTTGCTTTCCTTCTGGCATAAAGAATATTGATTTGGGGGTTCAGGAACAAACGAAAATGTAGTCATATTTTTAACTTTTGAAATTCTGACCTTTGGGATTTTTTCTTTTTTTTTTTTTTTGAAACGAGTTGCTCTTATAAGGTTAGGGTGAGGCTCATTTTGTGTTACCTCGATTCTTCCCCTATACTGTGGAAGTAGCTAATTTAATGACTTCACTTTGTTATCACACAGAAATACGACACAAGTCTCAAGAATGCCACTTAAGTAATAGTGCCCCTAACAATGGTGCAAATTGTGTACAGGTGCCACATAGTTTGGCTGTGCCTTCGAATTGTAAAGTGGAAGGCAGTGTCATGACAGACGAGAAGAGGTAGGCAGAGGAGAGGGAAAGTCACACGTCCCCAGTGAGAATGGCACCTGAGCGAGGAAGGTTACTACGCATCAAGCACAATGTTAAAAATTTTTATCTATGTTTCTCCTCTGATACTCATATTAACCTTATGAGATAAGTAAAATGCCTATTTACACACGAAGAAATGGAGGCTTAGAACAGTTAAACTGCCTGAGGTTATGAAGCTGGTAAATAACAGCAGACATGAGTAAAAAATAAGCTTTCTTAAAAAAAAAAAAAAAACCCACACGTTTTATTCCAAGGTCTATAGCGTTTCTGTGATTGTTATTATCCCTACAATCATAACCTGGATAAACGATTTTCCCAAACCAGGGATTTACTGACTAGATCATAGTCAAGATAAATGCAGTGATACGGATGATATCGTTTGATATTTGGCTTAAGTTGGAAAAAACATTCTGCATTTTCTCTCTGGGATGGGCATCTGAAATTGACAAGGCTATGATTACACACAGCAGTACAAAGCTGCTCAAACGTGCCCAGTTTGAGGAAAAACATATACATTTACTTCTAAAGTAGAAAATGGTGCTACAACAATTTCTTATTCAACCAAAGTCCTGGGCACTGAGAAAGGCACTAGGAACATGCACGCAAACGAAACGCTATGGAACAGGGGTAAGTAAATAATATTGACGCCCTTAAAGGAGAGTTCAGAAAAGGAGGCTTTGATAAAACAGAATTTGGCTTTCCAGTTTGGAAACAGTCAAGCGTCTGTAACTGGCACCCTCCTGTCCTCGTGAGGACACGTGAACTGCTCCACTCCCAACGGTCCTTTGGAAAGGCAGCAGTGGGAGAACCTGTCGCTGGGGGCCCGCACTCAGGCGCGCACACCCTGCGTCCACCAGCGGCTCTCACCGGATGCCTCGTGAAGCGACGCAGAATGGTTCCTGAAGCAGCTTATTTTGCAAGAGAAAGAAAGGGGTCCTAAAGGTCCCCAGCCTTTCCGCCTTTAGCTGCTCATAGAGAAAGAGAAGTCTTTCATCGTAGCAAGCCGAGTTTAAGGAAAGGTTCCAGCATCTAGCACTGCATGAAGCGTGAGGCTGAAGCTCTTTCCTCGGGCATGGTAACTCCAGCTGGACCTTCGCATGTGTTCCCCTGCTTTCTCCTCACCCCGCCCTCAGGCTGAGATTCTAGCATCTAGCACTGCATGAAGCATGAGGCTGAAGCTCTTTCCTCGGGCATGGTGACTCCAGCTGGACCTTCGCAATAGACTGGTGGAAGGGACGAAGACTCTGGAAAGGCCAGGGGATGCGCCAGCCCTCTGAGATGTTCCCCTGCTTTCTCCTCACCCCGCCCTCAGGCTCACCGTGCGCCCCGCCCTGCCCAGGGTCCTTAGTTTTGGCATCCGAAGCGGGATGCGGTATGTCTGCAGGATCAGGCCTACCTGCCTCTCCCCATCTCATCCTCCTAGCATCCATACCCAGGATTCAGCCACACAGAACTTCTGACCAGTCCTTACGCTCCAGAACATTCCTCTTGGCCATAGTTTAAGACCCAGAGGAAGAGCTTTCTGGTCCATCGATCCTTCCCAACGCCCTGAAGCTCCTGAGCAGAAGAGCTAGCTGCTTCCTCTCGGGTGTTCCCACAGCACTGCTGCCACAAGCAAACCATTCCTCGTGTCGCATGCGACTCTTATCCTTTCATCCCCGTAGTCCCAGCACTTAGCACGGTTCCAGGGCACAGAGTAAGCCCCGTAAATGTTTGTCGAATGAATGAATGAATGACTAAATAGAGTTGCGTTGCCCCCCCGCCCCCGCCGCCTCCACCCGTGAATCATACTTAAATGATTTTCCTAATCCTCCTGCTTTGACACAAAAGCCTGCTGATAATACAGCATAATTCACTGTGAGGAAAAGGGAGCAATCTGAGATGATTTCCAGAAGAAGCGTGCTTTATCTCTAGGGCCCATCTCCTGGCGACGCCATGGGGACAGCCTTCCAAGGGTTTTGTTTGCTAGACACTCTAATAAGGCAGCCAATGTCCTTGGCTTTCTGAGATCTCGCCCTCCCCGTATAAGAAGAAATAACTAACCTACCACAAGATCTTCCCCCTTCACATCTCATATAGCCTTGTAAAAAAAAAAAAATGTACTTATAAATATTTATTGAGCACTGACTACATACTAAGCACTGTTTTAGGATCTGGGAATGTAATAGTGAACTCACTGAGCTTTTTATTCTAGCAGCAAAAAGAGACAATAAATAAGATAAATAAGTAAAATCTATAATATGTCTGGTAATGATAAGTCCTTAGGAGAAAAACGAAGGACGGAAGAGAAACAGAACATTTTAGGGAGTTAAAATTTCAGAGTGGTTAAAGAAGGCCCTCCTGACATTCGAGTGAGATCCGGAAGGACGCAAAGGAGCAAGACACGCGGATACCGGGAGAAGAGCCTTCGGAGCAGAGGGGCCCACAGGGCGAAGGGCCTGGGGGTGGCGGCTGCCATGTTCGAGAATCAGCCAAGAGGCCATTGTGCCAAGATTAGAGTGAACCAAGGACACATGTAAAAGCTGAAGTCAGAAAGGCAAAGGTGACCTTTGGGATAAAGGAGGCAGCTCAGAAGCTTCCGGAAGGATCAAATGTGTGGATGTTGACATCAGTAAGGGGTATGACAGGGGTGTCAGCTAAGGTGACTATGGCCCAGGAGCTCCAGTGTTTAAGAAAGAAGGGGACCTCAGGGTCAGAAGATGACCACAGCGATGGGAACACTGAGCGGTTTATCCTGCGGCATTCGGTTCAAATGTGGGTGACGTAAGAGGGGTTTGGAAGTAGCCCTGAAGAGAGAGGCAGACATCGGCCCCCTTGGCAGGGCCGGGAGCAGGAGCGGGGGTGAGAGAGAACGCAGAGCCCAGGGCCTGCGGGGTGGGGAAGGCATCGGGGTTTCAAATGAGAACGGAAATAATCGGAAAGCCCGGGAAGCGCTTTGAAGTAGTGGGTCTTGCTCACAACTGACCTGGCAGATGGGGAGCCCGGGAAGGGTGCAGGGCTTAGAAAGCGTGGAGATGCAGGCAGGAAGGCGACGCGTGTTTTACTCTGTGCCTTTCGCCATTCCCTGTTTCGTTCTATTTTTATCTTTTTCTAATTCATAGCTCCCCTTCCATCTTTTTTTCATCTTTATTCATTTCTTTGGCTTATCCTAGTTTTCTTGTCTTTTAAAAATTAAATTTACTGGGGTAACGTTGGTCAGTACACTGGAACGTTAGAGAATTTCAGGTGTGTAACGCTATAATCCTCCTCTGCGCACTCCAGTGCTCGCTCACCGTCTGAAGTCTGGTTTCTTTCCTGCCCTATTTTTCATTAGTAGTGATTTTTCTCTCTCAATTCCCTTCCTGTATTATTATTCTTTATGCCTCTGAGTCTTCTTTATCTTTTTAAACTTTCCTTTGGATGTGGGCCATATTTTCCTCACGTTTTCCTTTTTATTTCTTCTTGATTTTCAACCCTTCTCTCTAGGAATGGTCCCTGTGGTTGTTCGCTTTAAGGATGCTTTCAAAGGCTCTGAAATCGATCCAGCGAACACGCTGTCAGTGGAGAACTGCTCAGCAGTCTTACATCCTCGGAACGTAAAAATGTCCCTCTCCTCACCTGGACTTTGACAGGCTCCATCCAGTGCTCCAGAGTGTCAGTGGTGACATTCTCAGGCAGAATCACGGGATCGTTCGGGGGGATCATACACGACGGGGAGCACACTGCACCTGAAGGAACAGAAATTTACAGTGTACACCTGAACCTCCCGGATCTCAGTCTTTTTCATCCTGGAATCAACAGCTTTGATTTTTCAAGAGCAATTTCTACGTTCTGGGTCACGTTATCATGAGTATAGGCGGGGCTGACATTCATCTACTAAGCACCTGATACATTCTACAGCTACAGCATGTTGACTCTGCTGTCCCAAGCACCTCTCACCTTCCTGGCCCAGGACTCCCCAGGAGCCCCCCGGATCACTGCATCCCGGGTCCAGCAGACCTCCAAGACCCCCAGACCGGACTGCCAAAGTCTGTCCTGATTGACTGATGCTTTTTAAGTACAGTCAATACTTTCCTACTTAAATGATTGCCTGAAGCATGTCAACTACAGCATCCACTACCTGAGAACTCGACTGGCAGAGAGAAAAAATAGCTCAGAAATTATGAAGGCAGATTTATAATGTCTGCTGCAACAATGACGATCGTTACGCTGGCAGCCAAGAAAACTATGTGATTAAAAGAAGAACAACAGAAAATTAGAAGCAGAGATTTGGGCCATGCACTGGCTTCTTGAAGGAAAATCTCCTCTATTCCTTTGCATATGGAGCCCAAACGTCTTCTAAAATTCTATTCAAAAAAGGCACACTCTAGGGTTCTCTTTTTCCTCATCTGTGGACTTGATGATCTCCAAGCTTCTTTTCAGTTCTCATTATTTCCATTTTGATGTTTTTTGCTAATTCATATAATAACTCAAAGAGCTACATGACTCTTAAGGACTCTATACAAGTGAGTGCATGACATTTTAATGTAGAAATTCTGGGGTGGAGAGATGAGAATGTGCTCGTGAAAACACCACGCAGGAGGCAAAGCCCAAGCACCCCCTGCCTGTGTCTGACCACAAGACACCTCTGTGCAAAGAGCGACTTTGGTGAAGATGGTAAAGGACCATCTCAGAAACTAACGAGCTTTCTCATTGACTCAAATTCTACCCATTGGCATTACACGTTAGGATAACTTATAAGAACTCCTTGCTTGTAGAGTTCAGAACTTAGGGTTAATTTCACAAGGTTTTCCACAAATAGCATCTCTGTTCTACCATGCTTTGGTCCAGCCAAGGCAAAGTTGAGTTGACATCACTATGTGTCAGTTCTGGCCGCAGAGACCTTTCATTGCAATTACTTGATTAAGAAGTTGCCCAGAGGCTTTGGAGCCTGGTCCTCTGTAGAGAAAGAATGGCTGAAGAGCAACACAAGCCAATGCAATCTCAAACGGTCCCTTTCAGGAGCTCCCTGCTCCAGTCACAACCGCAGAGGGCTGGGGGAGGAGCCCAGCACACGCGTGGTGTGTGGCTGTCCTTTCCCGCCTTTTCACTTGGAACCAAAACTCCTACCCCACATCCATCCACTTTCGGCGAAGTGAGAAACATGGCCGGACACTACGTGAATAGCTCAGCAGCCGCAGCAACAGGACGCACATGCGGGAGAGTAAAAAGCACGGGTTTGCCATGAACGGCATCTTTACTGAAGCAGCGAAGAGTCACCTTACACTTCCATCCACTCCTCAGGGAGAACTGTGGATCTGATTCAAGATCCAGCCAGGCTTAATAACAAGATTCCTCGGGAGCAGAAATCAGCATCTCTCCTCGAACTTACCGATCCCGAATCCCTGCTCACACTTGTACTCCACAGAATTCAGACCTGAGGGGGGTGGCGGACATTCCCCTTGCATCTTCTCACACAACCTGAACTCCTCGGTCCACAGTCCCTCCTTAGTGCAGCGGGTGGGAAGCTAGAACAGCAAAGGTAAAGAGCATTTCATCGTTGTTTTGCTAACTTCATTCAAAGTGGGGGAAAGTGATCTGATCAAATGGTGGTGTTCTCCAACTTCTAGAACACCGACTAAAAGACACTATTGAAATAATAAGCCATGTTGTTACTGACCCCCAGAAAAGTCATGACCATTTTTTTGCTGTTTTGATCTGAAGAACTCATGAACAATTTTGTCATTTATGAAATTTACTCACAACGTGTTTTCCTTGGATGAGCTATCGACTATATCCCATTATTCTGGAACATTTTTTGAAATATTTTCCCAAATGGTATTGTTTTGCAGTGATGGATCCATACTGTGACACAAATGCCATTTGTGGCAAATGTCGAACTGTGTTCAAGATGAGTTTGATCCAGTGAAACCGATTCATAATTTCTCTGAAGGTGTTTTTTGCCTTTCTGCTAGAATGGACACATCAGAGATGCTTTCGACCTCACCAGAGTTCTACTGCCTTTCTCCACATGTGTTTGTCTGTGTAACTCCGGGCTTCACACTCCCAGTAACCCAGAGTATACTACATGCAGAACAAGAGAAAACCACTAATTCATAAAACTCAAGAAAGTGAGATGTTAGAATTATAGATAACTCTCCCTTCATCTGGCCAACTTTGTGAGTCCTTAAACAGTCAGTGCAAACAGATGTGTTTGATTTCTTGTCTTATTCATGGCATATTCGTTTTACATCTGTCCTGAAGTGCTTATCTGGGAGTGCTGGACACCGAGATAAAGACATGTGCCAGGAGAGCAGCTAAGGTCATTGATCGTTGGAAGTCTGCTTAACTTCCTGTTTCACATATGCGTGTGGTACATGAAAAGATTCTAAAATAAAACTCATCTTAGTCACATAACCATGATAAGACTGTAGTTTTCATCTGGGACCTCTTCAGCCAAAATCCTAGAGAATAATTGTCAGACAGCACTTTCGGCTTTGCTTTTGTTGAGGGGTTCACATGCCTGTTCAGGACTGTTCTACTGAAGGATAGAATCCCAGCATTCCTAGCCACGTCAGGTCAGTGGCTCTCCGTGGGACGAAGTCACATTGCCAAATCAGAATCCCAGTATTTTTGGGGGGGATGTACCCAGGTACCCAAACCATCAGGTTTTTCTTCTTATTCAAGAGGAAGTTATGAAAGAGTATTCTGAAAATGTGATATTTTCTGAATCCCCTATCCAATAATATCAATACCCCTGTTCGAATCTCAACTTTGTACGGCCCTGCCTGTGGGGATTCACTGAGATCATTTCTTCTCGCCATTTTTGGATTGGTTGTCAAGGTCGGAGTGCAGCCTGCTACAAAGCAAAGTTGGGTCATCCTTACCCTTTCGCTTTCCTGGTGACAGCTGAGCATACACTGGCTGTTGAACTGAAAGCCATTGGTACACTCATACATGCCTTCGAAGACAGGAGAAGGAGGCTCACAGACCACTGGCACGCAGCTGCCTTGCTCCCAGGTTCCCCCCTCCAGGCACTGGATCTTCAGGAACATGCTGATGAGACATAAAACAAACAGCCCATCAGACGCTCTCCAGGAGGTCATGGGGAAAGACTGGATCCTAAGGAATACATGATAAAGATCGGCAAATAGGCAGGGGCGGATGGTCCCAATGTCTTACCTCTCCAGTCTAATTTCTAAGTCGTGGAAGTAAAAATAATAATGTACACTTAATAGGAGCAATAGTAGCAGCTGTTTTATGGTAATATTGGATACATTACTCTCAAGAGAGATCGATAAATACAAGCGGAGGGTCTAGACTGTTTACAGCTGGGTTTTCTTCATGCGTTTCATCTCAGAGGAGTCTCACACCTAAGTGCCAGGTAGTACGGAGTACAGAGAAGGTGATCATACATGCAGGGACTCCCCAGAGGGGATCTAGCCTTTCATCTCGGAGGAGTCTCGCACCTAAGTACCAGGTAGTACGGAGTACAGAGAAGGTGATCATACGTGATCATACATGCAGGGACTCCCCAGAGGGGATCTGAGAATCGGTGGTGTTAATATGGTGATATAAGTGATGAAGCTGCCGATATTTACCGGTTCTCCCGACAGGGGAGAAGGTGCCCCAGTACAAATCTTATTTTAAAACAGAAGTTCTTACCCTACACTTTAGAAGGGCAAGAGTCTCGCTGGAGACTACCATGGCCACTTTGTTTGTTTACAAGTCCATATTTTTTTCTTGGAAAGTGTTCATAGCTTTCATCAGATTCCCAAAGTAGACATGACTCAACACTGTCCTGGGGGACTCGCCTTCCTGCTTGTGAACGGCCATGGCCTCCAACCAGGGAGACTGCATTTGAGGTGGACGCTTATCAACAGAATCAGGTCTTGCCACTTCGAATTCCATTCCGTTCCCCTTCTGACTCACTGCCAATTTGAAGGGGCTTTCCATTTTCCTGTCTCAATGCTGTTTCCATCTCTGAGTCAAAACTTTCCTGGGTACAGATAAGCTTGTGATTCTAAAACAGAAATAATCCTTTGGCCATTGACTCAGCCACATGGTGGCCTTAAATTGCTATTTTCCAGTATCTTGATGGCCTTTGTAAATTTAAATATGCCCATCATCTACACACTTTTAATTGACGACTAGACTATTATACAGTGCCTCCTGTGTCTTTCTCCAGGAATCTAATTTTATACCAGTATAACATTTATTACATTGTTTTATAAATGCGCACATGTCTTTCTTTCCCACTAGGTTGGAAGCTTCCTGAAGGCAAGGATTGGGTCTTATTCTTGTTTTTTAATTCACAGGAAACAATATAATATCTGGCTTATATTAGGCATTAATTAAATATTTGCCAAATTGAATCTTTTAAGCAAAATTCACGTTGTAGAGCACAATATGTATTTAAACAAACTGAATCATCAGAATATGCCTAATGAAAGGGTATGGTTATTCCCATTTTATAAAGAAACATACTCAGAGATGTTAAAGAATTTGCCCAAGATTCTACAGCACAGAATGCATGTGATTTCAAATAATTTAAATAAATTTTAATAGTTTAACATACTTGAACAATCCACTTAGAAATACATGGAGTGTTTATTATTAAATTGTTATTCATACCTTTATTCCCATGAATATTTTAGGACAGAAATCTGATTTTAAGACTGGAATCTTTAGCATCATAGCTCATGTGGACATATATCTACTATCTGTTAATAATAAATACTACTTTTGAGCTATATTTCAGGTATCTGGCAAGAATCTCATCGGCTCTCCCAAACAACAGTTAAAGATAAATATCAATACCCACATTTCCAAGAAGGAAATCAAGCTTGAGAGAGACTGAAGGCTAGCTCAAGTATGCACAGTAAGAGTCACAGGCAGGGCTTGGATCTTGGTTAACCCGTTGACAAAGCCAGAGGTCTCCTGCTGTGACAGGTTTAACTGCCCCTTACACGCTCTACGGTCCACTTATCATATTAACAGCATCTCTTCCTACTGGGCATCCAGACACCCTTTATCCTGATGCCACATCTATGAGTGCAGCAAACACAGAAGAGTCATTTAAATATTCTGTATTGAGTAATAAACAATATACGCAACATTACACAAATCTTAGCATATAGCTTGAAGAATTTTTACATGTGAGCACACCTAAGTAATCATCACTCGAATCCAGACACAGAGCATGTCTGCCCCCCCAAGCTCCCTGTGTACCCCCGAAGCTCCCTGTGTACCCTGAAGCTCTCCGTGTACCCCTGAAGCTCCCTGTGTACCCCGAAGCTCCTGTGTACACCTGAAGCTTCCTGTGTACCCTCAAAGCTCCCAGTGGTGCTCCTCCCAGTTAAAGCTCCCCACACCCCTCCTGTGTATACCTGAAGCTTCCTGTGTACCCCTGAAGCTCCCAGCATACCCCCAAAGCTCCCCATGTACCCTCCAAAGCTCCCGGTGGTGCTCCTCCCAGTTAAAGCTCCCCACACCCCACGACCCACACTACTCTGACTTCCTCGTCCGTATAGATGAGTTTTGCCTCTTCTTGAACTTTATGTAAATGAAATCACATATTGTGTACTCTTTAGTATATGGCTTCTTTCTCTAATGGAAGATGTCATTTTAAAACATCTTCCCAAATGTATTTTCAATGACAGGTTCGCCGTTGTTTGACTCTAAGGAAGCTCCTTTTGTCCCTCTCCTGGAC